CACTCCCTGAACAAGTTCCCCCAGGCAGCAGGTTTGGGCTCCTCAGAAGCTTCACCCCCTAGACTCTCGGGACCACTTTGCATGTCCAACATGAATCCTTCTCCCACCTGACCTGCACCCATGACATTGCATCTCTGGCACTCCTGTGCTGCCCCAGGAGTGTGAAGGGCCCTGCAGAAGAGGCACATACTGATCATTCCCCAGTTAGAATCTGCAACTCCTGGCCTAGCCTCTGGCATATTGCCAGTGTGCTGGAAATGTTTGTGGGATTGAGTTTGCAGCTGAAATTGTGCTAACACCCAGATGCAATGAAATGCAGTGTCGTCTTAAAGGAAAGGAAGCATGGGAAGAGAGCAGAACCCAGGGGCTGTGTGTTGGTTGGGGAATCCCTTTAGGAACAAATCCAGAGACAAGTATTCAAGTATATGCAGTTCATTTGAGAGGGGTTTTGGGGAAGTGCAAGGAGAAAGGGCATCAGCTCCAGCCCACTGGGGAAGCCCCAGGAGCCCAGGTAGAACATACAAGCGGGATGAGGGAGCCAGGGCATCTGTGCACCAACTCTCATAACTGTTGGCTGAGGGCTGCTAAGGAGGCTGTGGTAATTCCACCTTCCCTGCAAGAGCAGCACAGCAGGAAGAGAAAACCCTGTGGCAAAATGCAGGAGCATGTGGTCTGCAGGCAGACAGATGTGCAGTGATATGGTGAGGAAGGAGACACTGGTTCCCAAGCTTTATAATGCAGCAGAATTATAGAGAGCTTAGCCCCACACCTACAGCTTAAAGGTGGGTAAGTGGGTGGTGGTGAGGATCTCCACCTCAACAAGTTCCCAGGGGCTGCTGTGGCTGGTCTGGAGCCATCCCTCAGGACTCATCTGGCTCCGCTCCAGATGCAGGCAGGGCACTGACTGGTGGGTACAGACTGCACGCCTGGGCAAATTCAAGCCTAAGACTGGCAGAGCTTAGAGACAAAGGCAAAAAGGTGAGCTACATTTCTGTTTTGCCCTCTTCAAGAGAATTCCTCCCACTTGACTCAAAGATGGTGTGTGGGAGTCACCTGCCCGTGGAGCTGGGAACCCGCACCTACACCTGCTGTGGCCAAGGCTAAGACTACTCCTTGCACCCGGTAAGTTCCATCCTGCTACTTCTCTCTAGGTGTGGCCTGATAAGCTTAGGTTCCAAGGGCAAAGACCACAAACAAGCATATCAGAAGGGCTCCAGCCTTGGACTACACAACTGAATTCATCTGGGGATGGAAGCGGCTTCTCCTGATCTGAACCAGAGCTGGCCAAGGTGGCCAAAGGCAACACTCAGTCCCTCTCTGCCTGGCCTCAGAGTCATTATGCAGTGACCTTGCAAGCCTCTTCTCCTTTCTGAAAAGGGTGACTCTTCCAGGAAACCCCCCTACACCATGCACTTTTCTTTTATTCAATGGCTATGATAACCAGAAAAATAACAGGCCTCCCATCCGTTGCTGTTTGCTTCCTATAGGAGCCCATGCTTGCAGGGGACACAGACTCCTAAACAAAAATCAGTAGTTATTTCATAACACTAAATTTTCACTTGAAACCTACACCATAGGTTTCACAACCCAAAAGCACTTGTGAACACTTAAGGGATAAGCAAAAAAAGGCAGGGAGACAGAGATAACAGATTTACCCCTTGAGGAAGCAGAGACGTCCTCATTTATCCTGTACAGATCACCCCTAGCAAAGAGCACGACAAAGCCACATCCACACACTTCAATTTGGAGATAGGGTCACTGCCATGGAAGCCAAGGGGTTAGGCCTGAGACCACTGCCAGTGAGTGTCTGGACCACTGGGTTCGGGAGGTCTGATACTACACAAAACTGAGGTCAACACCTTTCATTTAGGAAGCACTTTAATTAGCCACAGTCCTGAGCTTCATGGTAAGGGAAAGAAAAGTTTCAGCCCCTTGCAAATCAGAACATTTTTTTTCAGCTTTCCCAATGGGTTGCCAAATGACTCAGCATTGGCCCAGTGTAGGCACTATTATGGATGAGAAATCTTCCGCCTGGGTGATATACTGCATACAACACATACCCAAAGGACAGTGCCAAGTCATACCAGGAAGAGAAGGCAAATTATTCACCTCCACTTCAAATATAGGCAAATCTTTTCTTAATGCAGGGGCTACTCCATATAGAAAGACAAAGCTCTGAGATAGAGATTTCCATCTCAGATTCAAGGAATTATTAAGCAGAGACTCTCCTTTCTTGTTGACTATTAAAAGGCAATCAAATTGAGGACAGCAGAGAAAAAGGGCAAGAAAAAAATATAATTTTTCAAAAACAGCCCCAGAGTAGACAGCTGCATAAAAGCGTCCAACTTGCTGTGCTCTTTGTGAGTACTATGAGCTCCGCCCAGAGGTCATTCCCAGAACTGCAAGTTCATTTAATTTGGGAAAAAAAGAATCTTCATCCTCCTGGGTCCAGGGAAGGACCCGCCTCCAAGGACTGCTGAAAATCCTTGGACAACATTTCTCTTTCATTAAAAGAACTGCTCTGCACTCTTGGAGACAAGATATACTGGGGGAACCTAGTGAGATCCAATAGGACAATTGCCTTTGATATTTGTACCTGTCAAGGAACTAGTGGATTCTCTGGCAGATTGAACTCAGCTCAAAGAAAGCAGTGTTCAAAGAGTACTTTTAGAAGAAAACCTGACAGCTCTCATTGAAATCAAATAAAAGACTTCAGAGTGAATCAGAGGGCAACAGAAACATGTCTAACAATAGAAGGCTTGAGAATAGTTCTTCAAGAAGGACCCATGGGCCTTGCACCCAGAAGGCCCAACTGTGAGGCATCTACTCCCTAATGCAACCTGGAAAATCTCCCTGAGACAGTCTCAATCCCTACTTCGAAAAGAAATGGCTACACTTTCCAGAACATCCCTCTAGTATCCATTCATTCATGACATACACACAAACCCTCACAATCCACCCACCCTCCACACCAGTGGTCTGACACCAATTCATAAACATACCCCTCAGTCCATGAGAAGTCAAGCTAAGATAAAGTGCTGCTAACATGCTGGGGGCTCACTTGCCCAGTGCAAGCCACATTCTGTTCCAGATACCACAAACTAGCTCAGCAAATAAATGAAGCCTTCAAAAAGCAATACTGTGTGTTGGTACTGAAAGTTTCCTCTACTGTCCCATCCACACAGCCAGTATGCTCCTGTCTTCATCAGATTCTACCTTATACGACTTATGACAGTTTTGACAGATTTTAGAGGGGAGAAAGAAACCAAACAGCCTTTGTCTTCCTCCAACATTCCCCACCTCCACCCAGTGCCCAAGTTCTTTCTTCACTACAAACACGGAACAGCCCTTTCGAATCTATTGACAAAAATATCTATGGGAAGCTTTATCCATCTCTGGAGTAGTAAGGCTGTAGAGAATATCCTTGTTAAACTTCTGCACATGCAGATTTCAACAAGGCCTTCCCAGAGTATTGCCCTCTCTTTGCTTCTTGACCATAAAGCACAAATATTTGTGCTCAGGGCTAGGGATGTGGCTCAGTGGTAGAGCACTTGCCTAGCATGTGTGAGGGCCTGGGTTCCATCCCTAGCACCACCAAAAAAAAAGAAAGAAAATTTTGAAAATATTTGTGCCGAGGTTGAGTCAGTATGACTACATAAAGTTCCCTAGGCCCTTTAATGGTAACACTTACATGGAAGATTAAAATCACAAATGTTCACTGGTGATCACTGGTGATCACTAAAGCAGACCTGACTGGGGAGGGGCCTAGAAAGCTGCAGGATGCCCAAGCAAGCCAGGTGATTGCTACTGAAATGGTTTGGCTCTGGATGTGCCCCCAAATCCTCATGCAGTCAGAAGTGGCTGAATCTGGAATGTGTGATGCTGGGATTAAGGGCGTGTGATTTCTAAACCACTACACATGAGGGAGTGGTTTAGCACTGCCCTAATCGTGGTAGTCTGGGTGGGATAAAAGAGGCAGAAAGACGCAGTGAAACTCTTCCCCCTCTTGTTGCCTTTGCTGCCTTGTGAGCGCCATGTTGTTTCTCCTCTGCGATGCCTGTTTGCCATCCCTGCCTTGGAGCCAGCCAACTATGGGCTGAAAGCTCTACAAACTGTAAGCCAAATAAACCCCTTCCCCTCTAACTTTGGGTGTCAGGTATTTTGTCTCAGCAATGAGAGAAAAGTAACTAACATAGTTATCATCAAGAAGGTTTCAAAAGAACTCTCTAAAGCAGAAATGCTCTTAATTTCAGAATCTCCCAGCTGCAGAATGGCATCCACAGAGAGGGTTGCACCCTACCCATTTAAGCTCCAGCTCCATAAGAGTACCTGGAATTCAAGAGAGGCCGCATTCTAAACGACACAGCTGTTAATAATGTCCTTATGTACTCCCTTATCTTGATGGGTAGTGTCTGAAAATTTTACAAGGCCAAGCTCATGTCTACTTCTATCAGGAAATGTTTTTGATTCCTACACAATGGTCTCCCACTACTCTGCAGTTTGTAAGTGTGCTCTTTGGATCACTGGTGCAAAATGAGCAGATCTGCTTGATTATAGGAAAGGATTTACTTCCGGACATCATGCACAGAGGAGAAGGACACATAGTCAATATGGGTTTTTCTTCTTCATTGCATCTTGAAGGCTCTTCTGCCAGCTGCTCCTCACGGCTCCCCACTGCTCTGCATTCTGCCATATCCAATGATGGTTTATGGCAGAATTCAGTAGGCAGAAAGCCATGCAGCTCTTACAGACAGAAATTAGGAGAGAAGGGAAGTCTGAATTACATTATATTTGAAAATGCAGTCAAAGAAAGAAAAGGTCCATTCTTTTCTCCTACCTCCTAGCAATGAGATCTATGTATTCATCCAAAAAACACACCTAACTTTACCTCCATTCAGAGCCAATAGCTCAGTAAATATAAAAATCAACTATGTAGTCAATGTCAAGCATGCAAAACCATTAAATCAAAAGTTGTATTTTTTATCAAAAGGAATGCTTACCTTTTCTTTGGCTTTCTTTTTTGTCCCTGCATCCATCCACTCATTTTCTTTCTGCAGCATGTCAATAAAAGCCCAGCGAACACCCTCAATCAATTCCTCCATCTACAAGATATACCCAAAAGAGACAGCATCAAAGTCAAAAACCTCAGACAGGGTTCTCTGGACCAAAATCAGCTTGCAAGAGAAATACTACAATGTTTAACATTATGAGAAAGAGGTTCTTTCAGCTTGACTCCATGCTCTGGTAACACTTTCTCCACCACGAAATGATAACGAACCATTATTCCTCCCATGGGAATAACTTGATGGCTTAGTTTTGAAATGGTTACATGGAGAAAGGAATTCACTATAGCTCATGACTAACGAATACTTCATCTGACCATGACTACTAAATTAGCCTATCTTTATCAAAGTAGTAACCAAATTCATTACTTTAACAAGGACTTGAGAGAGACAAGACAAAGTATGGGCTGTGCATTTCAAATAAGGACTGCAGAAGAAAGCTAAGGAATCGTTGAGAGAGAAAGCAGAGAAAGGCGGGGAGAGGCAGCATCCCAAAGGGTACTTTGCCAACATTAATCAGACGTATGTCGAGACCCCAAATCTCTCCCAAGTTGTGGCAGTGGTTACAGCAAATGCTTGACTATTCTGTATCATCTTCCTCTGCTCCTCTCTACTCCCTTGCAGCTCAGCAAAGTCTTGTTACTTCCAATCTAGAATGGTAGGCCCAAAAGGAGCCACTACAGAAAGGATGTCTTCTGAAAGGCCTATTCATACCCTAGTGTTTAAAGAGGGAGGCCTTATCCATCTTGAGGACAGGTTTGCCCTGGCTTTGCTGCCAATAGAGAGGATTGAGTAAAAGAGACAATGATGCTTAACTTCAAAAGCCACTCACAGCAGTGAGGAGGCTCTGCTGTCTGAAGGGTATGGGTACACCCCCCTGGAAATCCCATCCTGCTGCAGAGATGCTTTGGCTTCCTTAATGGGATACCCAAGAAAGAATACAAGCTGGGGTCTGGCTGCAAATTAAACTTAAATACGCAATTAAACATTACTTCTAGAAGGATAAAAATCTAAATGTTTCCTTTGTTCTATAAGGAATTGTCAGCACAAAGCTCAAAATAATTTTTTTCTGTTTGATAAGTTTTCTGCTATGTTTTCAGTTCAATAACAGTTGTAAGGGAACCAGAGCTGCAAATCAGTAGGCTGGGTTCCATCGTATGTAAATAAGAACAAACAGCAGATGGAAGGGGGTGGGGGGAGCTTCACAGCTATTTCTTCCCAACTTAGTAAAAACATTAAAAGAAGAGAACCTCAATTTGGGTTTGGGGCATAATAAAAACAGGAGATGATAGAAGAACAAAGGTCTTTTAAAAATCAGTAAGTCAGTGGTATTCAACTTTATCTGCATATTGGGGTCTTTGTGAGAGCTTTCAAAACTCCTGACCAAAAAAAAAAAAAAACTTAAAAATTAAAAGCCTGAGGCCTAGCCATGGGGATGCTGTGTCATTGTTCTAAGGCCCAGCCTAAGCATTGGAGTTTTAATCACTCCCCAGGTGATTCTGATGTGCAACCAGGATTGAGGCCCATCAGTCTAGGAGAAACAATCTATTTTACAAATAAGTACATTGAGAGTTTCTGATATGTCCAAGCTCATGGAGCTAGTCTAGATCAGAGCCAGGCCCTAACCACAGAGCTAAAATGACAACTTTGAATTCAGAGCTTCTAAAGAATAATGCCAGGGAAGTGGAAGGGAACCAACTGAAAGATGCAGAAGTCACCATTTTAACCAGAAAATCCACTAAAGGAGGCTGTGAAAATGTTGAGAAAATCTCCAGGGACTGGATCTTTCCTCTATGCAGTCATCAGCACTCCTAAGTCTTCATGAGCTCATTCCACAGCAACACATATCCACCAGCCTCACTTGCATGTACATAGAGAAATAATAGCCTCCCAGATTAGGGAGGAGCAATGAGGATGGAAAGAAGCAGCTAGATTGATTTGAAAGATTTACTGACCAAATGAATGATGAAACCAGGTGATTAATTGTGTGTGGGGAAATGATGAAAGCAGGGAGAGTCCAATTAATTCCCAGGCTTCAGGTGAGGGCTACTCGGAATGCTGGAAGAGAAAAAGGACTGGGAACAGAAGCCAGACCGTGGTGGGATATGTAGTACATGGGAAGTAGGTAACAAATCTCTACAACCTAACTGAGGAGTTTGTCTATGAATGAAATCAAGCAAAGATAGAAGATGGGTGGACATAGAGTTAAGGGAGAGTATGCAGGTATGGGGTTTGTGCATATTTTGTTGCCACTGCTGTTTCTATTGTTGCTGCTAAACATGTGAGATATTTATGTTTAAATATCACTGGAAAGGATCCAATGACAAAGAAGAGGCTGAAAATATGAAAGAAAGAAAGCCATAAGTGGTCTCTGAGAGGAAAATGAGAAGATGGGATCCAGAGACTATAAGGAAGGATTCACCTTAGAAGCGAGACAGGATTATGAGCAGAAAAGCTGGAACTCGTTGGTGCCAATTGGTGTGTGACTTTGCTATCCTTTCCAGCCAAAACAATTTGTTTGGTACTTGTCATTTTTGGTCCTTGTCATGCCTCTCAGAACCAATTAACAATGAGTACCAACTGTATGTTGAAATACAAGCAAATCTCTTTGCTTTTTGCTTTCCTATGAGTCTCATTTAGTCTTTATGGTCTTTGACCTTGTGAGCAACTCCCTGACCTAAGTCCCATTTTATGTTTAGGTTTTAGAATCCTCTCTCTCTCTCTCTCTCTCTCTCTTTCTCTCTCCCTTACTTCCTCAGACTTTACAAATTTATTGTATAACATTTTCTGTGAAATGATGCTAAACTACCCTAGCAGACTGCAAGAATAAAGGAAATCTTTGAAGGTGATTAATGTCATTGGTTGCCATGTCAATGCAAATAAAAGAAATAATGATTTTAGCATGCTGAAGCTAGGAGATAAATCACTAAATACTTTTGATTTTTATCTTTAGACTATTCTACAGCATCATATAATAACATTGCCTTCAGTCAAATCATGTTCCCTGAGGTAGCAAAAATCTGATATAATTCTGAAAAGATAAAAAGTAGAAATCCTATTTCTTCACTAAACTTTGACCTAACACCCCAAGCAACCATCATATGGCATTAATAGAAATCACTTAAAATAGAAGTCATCGGGTTATCCATAGAAAATGTATATTTAGAGTCAAAGATTAAAATATAACATTAAAAATAACCAAAGCGTTATTGCAGTAAAACCTGCCACATTCAGGGTAATGTCCCTCCAGACAAAGTAACATTTTCTTAAGCATCTATTTATCTTAGATTTTTATGGATCAGTACTGTGAATATAGAGTTCATTTGGTTAGTGTATGGTAGTTGTTATTTCTGTTCTTCAACCAGAGTTATTTAAAAGTGAGTTTTCCCTTTTCATTCTGTGCAACCCAGGATTTTAGCCACTGGGTTTTGCACTGGACACTAGATACTAGTGAGTCACACATACATATACATGGATGGGTTACCCTTCCATCCAGAGCTTGTTGAAAACAAGATCCTCCTATTTTAGTACATTATAAGTTGGCTTTCCCACTCTTATTTTTCCCTCTCCTTAGCTTTTTTCCATTACACAGATATAAGAAATTTTTGTTTTCTATAAATGGTCATGAAGGTCTAATGTATGTGAAGGGACATAGGCCAACAGTGCTTTGAGGGAGGTCAGTTCATTCCATGATCAGTTGTACTTTCTTTCAAATTTTTGTCTCTGGCAATAAAAAAATCCTACATAGACAACTCAAATCCTACCTCATGAATCTCAAACACTTAAACCCATACTTTCAGTGCCTCCTTAGAGTTCCTGTCAGTCCTAAAATCAGAACAATTCATATATGTTGAATTGACTTTCCATTTGTATATTTTTGGTCTTCCCAACAAGATCGATAAGGTTTGAGAACCAAAACCATAATTTAGATCAAATGGGATCAGGGATTTGTAAAGCAAACCAAAAGATATCTTCAAAATTTTAAATGTTATTCATTTTATGATTCCATATTTCACACTGTTACTTTTATGATTTCATATCTCACATGATGATTTTTCACATTATATGATTTCATATTTCATGTTCAATACCTAATTCTGACTTATAGCAAATGTTCAGTAAATACAAGTTGATGGCTTTTCAAAACCTCCAATGGAAGTTTTCGCCAGAGTAATTAGGCAAGAGAAAGAAATAAAGGTATACAAACAGGAAAGGAGGAATTCAAATTATGCCTGTTTTCAGTTGATATGATACTATATAGAGAAAAATCTAAAGACTCCATGAAAGACTATTCGAACCGATAAATTCAGTAATGTTATCGGATACAAAATGAATGCACAAAAATCAGTAGCATTTTATATACCAATAAAATTGCTGAGAAAGAAATCAAAAAAGCAATTCCATTCACAAATAGCTATAAAAATTAAAATACCAAGGAATAAATTTAACCAAGGAAATAAAAGACCTCTACAATGAAAGTTATAAAACATTGATGAAAGAAATTGAAGAGGACACCAAAAAGTGGAAAGGTCTCCCATGTTCATGATTTGAAATAATTAAGATTATTAAAATGTCCATACTACTCAACATGATTTATAGATCCAATGCAATTCTTGTGAAAATAACAATGACATTATCCACAGAACTAGAAATAAATCCTACCATTCATGTGGAAGCACAATAGACCACACATAGCCAAAACAATCTTGAGCAAAATGATCAAAGCTGAAAGCATAACAATACCTGAGTTCAAGATGTAGTACAGAGCCATAGTGATCAAAACGGTACAGGACTGGCATAAAAACAGACACATAGATCAATGGAACAGAATCAAGATGCCAGAAATAAACTCACACATCTACAGCAAACTGATTCTCCACAAAAGTGTCAAAAATATATATTGGAGAAAAGACAATCTCTTGAATAAACGGTGCTGGGAAACTGGATATCCACGTGCATGAGACAAAATTGACCCCCCTCACCCTGTACAAAAATCAACTCAAAATTGATCAAAGACCTAAATGTAAGACCTGAAACTA